GGTTAAAGATGTTAACAAACCGAAACGCGTTCGATGGGCTGCACATATGTTGTACTCCAACGAACGTTTCAACGATGTCATCTTTACCGATGAATCAAAAGTAGAGCTGAAATGGAGCATGGATAGAACGATGAGAAAGAAAGGCGAACCAATGCCTTATCGGAGCAAGCCAAAGTTTCCACTTAGTGTAAGTAAATCATCATTGGGTTATATCATTATAAACCCTCAACTGGGATGTAATTTAGCTATTTTCTCTGATTCATAAACATGTGACATTACGATTATTCAGTGAAAGACCACTGATTATTTTAAGACTGCTTTTATTGTATCTAAAACCACAGTCGGGATTGTTCTATAAAGAATGTAATGTAGATACAATTGTAATGCGTTATGATAACTACAATTAGTTTAACCATTGTTGCATTGTTAATAACAATAACATTTACAATGTTTATTCTGTTCTTTGCCTTGCAGGTCATGATTTGGGCGGGAATTTCACGTGAAGGACCGACAGAAGTGGCCGTGTTTAACGGTATCATGAACAGTGAAGGCTACCAGACAATACTCCGCCGACATTTGTTACCGGTGATTGAAAACCGCTTCACGCATAGATTTCAACAAGACAACGACAGCAAACACACATCACGATCAACAAGAGAATGGATGACGAGAACAATGTCAATTGGTGGCCAACTCCCCCCGAGTCGCCAGACCTAAATCCAATTGAAAATATGTGGTCGGCAATGAAGAAACATATTCACAAATACGTCAAGCCAAGAACTAAGGAGCAACTTGTTGACGGTATATACCAGTTTTGGGGGACGGTGACACCAGAACTATGTAATCGGTACATAGATCACCTATTTAACGTAATGCCAATAGTTATTGCAAAAGACGGACAGGCTACTGGAATGTAACTCTTTTACATCATCCCACCATGGAAGGTACTAACGTTAGTACCTTCCACGATCGCACCTACTGATTGACTCGCGTAAATTATCGTATTCGACTCGTGTAAATTATCGGAATTGACTTTCGTTACTGTGACTTTCGTTATTTGTTGACTCATGTAAATTTTCGTGATTATTATTATATAAAGGGGTATGCGCTAAGCTATAAAATAACTGTATATAGTTACAATGTAAATACGCATTTATTTTTATTTTTTCATTTCCGAATTTAGAAAGACAGGTTTTAATATATGTCTATTTTAAAGTTGTAAATGTGGGTGGAACAGATGGCTACAAGGGGAGATGAGGCCGTAATTTAAGTTTTAAATGAATGATTAATTGACATGTAATTTTTGCTTGTTGCTCAATATATTACTGGTAAAATAAAAGGCAGTGTACACTCGATAATGGAATGTGTCGGGAAATGTGTGACATCTTTGTCAGTTTAGATTAAATCATGGAAGGTAGAACCTTCCTCCCATGACAAGATGAAACGATTACTAGCCGTATGTTACTTTACATTCTGCTGGTCTTCAATTTCTACTCGTACAAATATTGACTGTAACAGTATTTGGTTATTTAGTTTTCATGATTAAATCACTTAAACTTCAGACTAGTAATACTAGTCTGAGCTTAAACTAGGCACATCTCGTCTTAGTCCCCTCCACTCCACGACCCGAAACTTTCCCCACAGACTGTATTCATTTTTGAGCTTTGAGCCTTTGCTGATAATGCGTGTGCTAATTGAGCCACAAATATACGAGGGAAAATTAGGTTCACAAAAGATCCCTGAAATCGAATATGCGTGTTTGGAGGACTTGCGCGGCATCTAAGTGAAATGTTGTATTTCAGATTTAATATTAATGTTATATAATAGCGCAAATTGTGAAAATTACTAGTCGTATGGCAATAATTTATGACAAATTTCATACACTGATGTGAGTAAAACAAAACTACTGACAAGTTCGTACATAAACTGTTATGCTCGTCGTACGTTATGTCATTCTGTTTTACATGGGCTTGATGTACGTCACTAGACGCGCCTATCGGCGCGCCGCACAATTACACCTCACACCTGAGACCTTAGTGACTCTGACCATGTCCACTGAATGTACTTGTGCACACATGTTAGTAATCAGTGTTATTCGTTTATTACACGAGGAAATGAGACGCATGTTTAAAGTGTATCTGTGAAGATGCAGCGTGCCGGGCGCGACACATGATCACGTGTTGGTCGTTTTTGGAATTGAATACTTATCAATACATCAAAATTTCATTTCATAATATATGTTGGTTTAGGGGCACAACAGTTTCAAATTGTAAAATAAACAGAATGTCGACATAATTTTAAATAATTATTATTATTTTAGAACGTTCTTGTACAGATTGAGACTTCCCGAAATGCTAGACTGCGGGTTTCTGTTTGGTTGAGCGACTGATTAGTGTCACTTAAAATTTAAAACGCCAGCCGTTTCCGACATTTGAAAATGGGCGATATGAGGGTCTATGAATGCAAAAACAGAGAATATTACTAGTATACAGGACCAGCGTAGAACATAACAAATGCTGAATGTCTACTGAATTACTGAAAAAAAAAACTGTTTTAGGATAGTCCTCTCTCTGAAAGATACTGTAAAATGACTAATTTTCACTGGGTTTAAATTTCACTGATTTACCATTTCAGGCATATTCAGTGGGTTTTAAATTCACGGTTTCGTTATTTAGATAATGTGTTCTATGCTAAATTTTACATATTCACTGGGTTTTAATTTAGCGCATTTTCCAGTCAGCGAAATAAGCCAAATTAAAACCCAGTGAATAATTACCCCCCTTTACAGTATAGTGATTCTGAAAAGGATCGCTTGGTTTGTGTGTACAATGCACACGCATAATTATCGAGTCGACGTTTCAGTATTTAAATACAGTGGCGAAAACGCCAACGTTACACTCTGACCGATACGTCTTAAATAAAAAAAAAGTCGCCCATTTTGGCTTTCAAAAAATACTCTTGTTTCATAAGTTGACAGTCGAAGATCAATCAGTGTAGCCATTAATTTAATATCATCTCTCTTCAGGCTGTCAACCTTTCCTCTTCCTTCTTGGCTACAATCACCACAACAAACAGATCGTGGTTGTTGTCCGCGTCTCGTCGCAGTCACGGTCCGTATGACCGGTCTGCTCACCATCGCCACAATCTGTTTAAAACCTGATGTATTGTACAGCGTGCATTTTATTTTATACATTTACTTTACCTTTACAATTTTTTTAATTACTTTGCATTTTTTAATGTTTTTGTTACGTACTTGTCATTCGGTATATTTTTTAACTATCGCCACACAGTGAACAAATCGCAGATGACCTTCCATAGCGCACCTGACGACGTCAACGATCATAGTCAGGTCACAAACACACTCAAGTAAAATGGCGGATTATACCGATGTTAGCAATGAAAACGATCGGGAAAAACATGGCTTTTCGGTAAGTCTATCACTGTCAAATGCAGCGAAAGTCATCTTTTATTTTTATGTTTATATTGTAGTTTGATTGGTTCCAGTTTAGCTCGTTATTTTGCGTAGTTATTCTGGGAGTGGCGATTTTTTCCACCGGTTCGACTGAACACCGGTATCTTTTTCCAGTCGCTTGCCCTGAGACGGGTGATGTTTTGTTGACGATGGGGCCAAAATCGTCTAGATACGGTCTTGAAGCCGTAGCTCTAACTATTCATCAAAATGTATCAACATTTGTACAATAACTCATTATTAAAGTAGTTGCACTGATTTGGAAGGGAATAAAATATTTTTTTTTTATTTGGAACACATCGCAATTGACCAGGAAATATTTTTGCTCCAATATTCTGGGTTGACCCCGTGCCGGTGACGATTATAACAATTTAAAATCAGTTTGCATTATTTACTTTAGCTGTTTATGAAATTATTTTTGTTTCCATTCTAGATAATTATGCTCAGTTTTTGGTGTAAAGTTGAAGCAATTACTGAATAAACGAGCCTTGGCGAAGATGCACCAGGAAACAAAATAAATATTCAATGTAATGGCACAAATTGTAAAATTCTGTGGAATCTCTTTCGTAAAAAAATACACTAGTAATTTTCTATTAATGGTTTATGCAAGTTAATTTATTGAGCTGTACATGAATTGGTGGGCAAAATATAATGTACAGGGGATTTGCCTGTAGAGTATTACATGTACTACACTGAATTGTATGAATTGCAAAAAAGAAATTGACACTAGAGCGAGAAACTGACACTTTCTCGAACCCCATCTACTCCTGATATTATCCTCGCCACTGATATTTTTCGACGTGCTGGTGGTGTGGAAATTTGAAATAAAACAGTTTAACGACGAGAAACCAAATTCCCACTGAAAAATTCAAGGGAGAAACAAATTATCACCAACACCCATGGGAACAGTGTGGGCTTCTCATGCGTTAACAATTTGAGGTACATTATTAACATTGGTCGTTTACA